CATTTGAGTTATATTTGAAAAGATTATTATGTGTGTCATGCGGGGAAAGAGAGCAAGAGTGACTATCAGGAGGCCTGCAGCCTTCTGGGTGAGAGAGAACAGAGGCTTGGATTCCTGTGGTATCAGTCAGGTGGAGAGAAATGGTCAGGTTATAGATGTATTTTGAAGGTAGAGCTGGCAGGATTTGCTTTGCCCAGATGCCAGCATGTGCATAACAATATTAATGCTCTCTGGTGAACCCAAAGTCTGCTGTGACCCTGTCTAATTTGATAGAATTTACTTAACCAGGACCTTGACTTTCTGCCAGTGCCTCTCATGACAAAAGGTTGTATATCCAAAGTAATAAATGTGATGTGATAAAAGAGCTGACTAGAAGAAAGAGATAGTGACATTTTTTACAGAGTGCCTGTCACAAGGTAAGAGGATAGAGTTATGGCAGCTTAGACCAGCATGAGGCATGGCTGCCAAGGCAGCTTATCTTGCCATGTGCTGGAGCATCCCTAGTGTCCCCAGGAGAGGAGAAGACTTGCTCACAGTGGAATTTGAGGGTCTTCTCCTGAGCGTAGTGCTCAAGACTCGCTAAGGAGTCTAGTAAGAAATACAAAGCCACAGCCATTTGGACAGGGCTCTGTTAGGGAGACTGCCTGCTGACATCAGGTGGGGTCAGCCCCCACATCTGCATGGAGGCAGCTGCTCACACTGATGTATCACACCAAGGGGTGCCTGCCATGACGCAGGGCCCTTCTGAGATTTGCAAGATTGCAGAATCCCAGAATTTATGAGTTAAGAGTTGTCTTAAAGGTTATCTTGCCTAATAGTCTAAATTTTTAAGGCAGCCAAGGGAGGTAATTGCCTGTCAACATAAATTGGATAGTGGCAAAGCTGAGACTGAATTTGCAGGGTTGCTTTTTTTTTTTTTCTGGCAGGAGCTGGGGATGAAGAGCCATTGTCACTATTTCCCTTCCATGACAGGAGACGACATAATTTCTCTGCAGTTTGTTATTTCTCATGATGAATTGAGCACCTTCATTTCTCAGGTTTGAACAAATAAATGAAAATATAATCAGGCTTTTCTTTCTATCTTGCATAACTGTTCTTTAAGCAGGGAGGTTTAGATAGGACTTAACCATGAATTTCAAAGGAGTAGTTACAATGGTCAAGAGGGGATCAGAAAGTTCAAAACCCCCTGCTGATGGAAGAACTCCAAGTCCCCAGCAAATTCTACCCAGTAACAAATTGCTGTATGCACTTACCAATTTTATGTGAAGGATGGAAAGCCGATGGCAATGTGTACATTTTAGGGATCATGGTTGTAACATTCTAGCCAGTCACATTTCTTGCTGTTGACATAAGAAATGAAAGAAATAATTATATTAGTATTGTTTCTCCAGTTTATTTTCTATATTTCCACATTAGCATCCAGCTCAAGACACCCAATCACCAATAGAAACTGCAGAGGAGGATGTTTTAAAAAATCTGTGTGCACAAATAGCACCTTAGCGTTCTTCCTTTGGCAGTCAGTTCCCTATAACAGTCACACACTGCATCACAAAATTAGCCTTTCAAGTATCATATTTCCTTTTAATCTTTAGGTCATATTTGTAGACATTCAGAAAAGTTTCTTTTGTCTTGCTTTTGAATGCTTGAAAAAATTTTGACTTGAAATTCGTGCTTCCAGCTGTCTAGCATTGTGCTAGTTTTGACTGAGTAATATCCCCCAATTTAAAAATATGCTTTATTATCCTGTGTTATCTCTTTTGGGTTCTATTATATATGCTACATGATATATAATGAAGTAAATATAATTTATATTGATGAATTATAGATCAGATGATGAAGTATACATACATTATATATAATATTTTAAATTATGTGTATATAATTATAAAATCTTGTTTGGAAAGAAAAGATATGTTCTTTTAGTCCTCTGAAATCCCCAGATTCAATTGGAAGGAAACAAAAGAGCATATCTTCTCTCGTCCAAACCAAGTTTTATAATACTATTTTCAACCTAAGTTTGTAATTCAAGTGGCCTCTTCCTGTCAAATAGTTGAATAATAATGTTTCCACAGGGTCCCATTTGCTCCCTGAATTACAGGAAGATTTGTCCTTCCATTCTGCTCTTGCTTCTCATTGGCATGAATACAACCATAGCAACCACTATAAAGCTTGCCCCCAATAACTTCAATGTGATCTACAAACGAGGGCCTAGATTATCCTCCCACACTTCTTTTCTCCCATGATCTTGGTAAGAGAGGCTTGAGCCAGAATAACAGTGGTTGGAGTCGTGAGAAATAATCATATTCTTACTATAGTTTGCAGGTAGAATAAACTGGATATTTTGATAGGTTGGATGTCGACTGGAAGACAAAGACAGCAGTCAAGAGTGAGTCCACATTGACATGAGCAATTGATAAGATGATGCTCTCAATACTGATACAAAAAAACAGTGTTATATGAACATATCTAGGGTAGAGATTAATTGTCCAGTTTTTGGACTTGTCCAGGGGGTCAAGGTGGCAGTTTGTTTTATAAACCTGGAGTTTAGGGAAGAGGCTCAAGTTGGAAATATAACATTGGAGTATCAGTGTATACACAGTACTGGATACACGGTATCCATGAGAGTGAATAAGATTGCCAAGAGGGAGAGTATAGGCAGAAATAAAACAAAGGGCAGAGGCACCTGGGGCATTCCACCACTTGAAAGTTGAGGAGACATGAAGGAATCAGAAAAGTAGAATGAAGAGTGGCTAGTGAAGGAGGCCACAGAGAGGAGTATTCTATTCTCCAAACCCTAGAAATGAAATGCTTCAGGGAGGACAGAATGGATCAAGGGTCAAATCCTGCAGAGAGGCTGTATAAACAAGAACTGAGAAGCAAATGCTATATTTGGCAACATGAAGATGAAGAGCAGTTTGGGTGGATGTTGGGATCAAAGTTTAATGGCAATCTATTCAAGGGAGAAAGAGGAGTAGAATAAGATAAAACAAGGATAGATAACTGTTGGAGAAGTTTAATTTGAAGAGGAGCAATAATACAACAAAAGCAGGACTGGCTGGAAGGAAGTGTAGCATTAAGAAAGGATATATATATATATATATATATATATATATATATATATATATATACACACACACACAAAAGTCCTTGAACAAAGAAGAAATGCTGTTTAGAGAACAGGGGAAGACATGTCCTTAGAAAGGGCACAGGCAACCCCTTGGTGGCAAGGGAGCGAAGGAAGACTCTATGGACACAGATAGAGGTAGAGAGAGGCTGTGGTGGGGGATTTATAAACTGCTGGGATCTGGCTATTTTAAACAATTATACACAGGAAGATCTTATTTTTAAAACCATTCAGTTCTTCATGTAAAATATATTCTACTGAAACATTTCTCCCTTTGTAGAACTTTAAAGCCTGCAAACTTTAAAAAAATGGCTTGTTTCTTGGCCCTTGACCATGGAAATTACATTAAAATATGTTAGGAATAGAATTCTCATTCTGTAATCCTCATTCATTAGGAGATTATGTGGACCTAATTTATAATGCAGTCATATCGTGTACACATCATGCACTTCTGTAATTTTGCTTCTAATTTTTATTTTAATTTGCAATTTATTCCAAAATTTGCCTTTGCTAATATAAATTAAAAAAATTGAATTTATTCTATATTTAGAATAATACAATGTGCTTGAATTAATTTTTACATGAATTTCCATTTATTCCATTTATCCTTTCAAAAACTGTGAGTCATATATTTGACTGATCTAACCTTTTGGCTGTTCTATAATTGAGTATAAATGGTTCAGGCATTAATGTTTAATATTTTTGCAAATTTTGTTCTGTTGCTTGATTTTATTAAGTGCTTGACAAATTTAGGAACATGAGTAATTATAAGTTAATACTGAGAATCTACTTCATGGCAAGAACAATTCTTATTGCCACAATTTTAAGTCCTGTGACAATATTTTGATGTAGGCTTTAACTCGCACACTTAAGGAGTAAATGTTACACTGGAAAATGTGTCATGATGGAGAGAAGGGGGAAGGAACTGTTTGTCTTTCATTATGATAATAGGTTACATTTCCTTTAGACCCCACTATAACTAACATCCATTTACTTTGAATGTAGATAAGAAATTGCTTTAGAGACTCCTTTTTGAAAGGAACTGTGCAAGGTTTACTGCATCATTAACAAATTTACATTAAAAAAATGGAAAATGCTCAGAATAGTATGGATTCTGCATAGAAAGTACTAAAAGCTATTTGAAGTACTAATTATTTTTACTGAGAATATTAAATTTTTATTGCAACCTTTTATTTCTCTAAATCATAATTATTTTAATTTCAGGACTTTGCTTTTAGCTACTCCTATTGGCAGAAACGTATGTTGTAACTTAAGTTTGATTTTCTTTCAATATGAACAAATAAAGATATTAAACATGAAATACTATTTTGGAAAATACCATGAATTCTAGGATTTGGAAGAACTGTGGAGATCCACTGTTTCTTTGTATTTCCAATGTCTGTGTCTGCCAGATTTCTCTTTTTAATTTAATTTATTTTGCTTCCAGATTTTAATTTTAGTAACCTTGAAATAACAAAATTTAGCATCAAATGTTTAAACACCTATTATAACTGCCAAACTGTGAAATCATCATTATTTATATCTGATCAGCTATATAAAAGTCATCAATTTTTTTAAATTAAAAAGGCAGTAGAAATCCCAAAGAATAAGGGAAAGACCACTAATTAAAAGCTATGTTTACTAATCTAGCCACATAATTCCAGTATCAGGACTTCCCAAGCAACTGGAAGGAGGAAGGGAAGAGGCAAGTGTGTTGGAGTAAGGGTAGTTAACCTGTGGCCCCATGTGTGCTCAAAGGCCACGCAGGGTCCAGCAAAGGCTGAGACTGGAGACACAGGCCTTTGGTTTGAATGGTGAAGGAAGCCCTTGAGGAGAGCAGGATCAGCATTTCCTAGAGGTCCTGCTGGAGCAGGCCTCATGAACTAGGGGGCTGCTTCTCGGTATCCAAGTCTTCCTTAATTTCTTCAACTTTTTTAGCCAGGTTGGGTATGTCATAATTCTGAGCCAGATACATTCCAACCAGGTTGTCCAAAGTAAATCCAAGCAGAAACTGTGTTGGGGTCTGCCCTGCCTGGTCTCAGGAGGCTGTAACCCCTCTGGCTAAGGCTGAGTAAGACACCTCTGAACCAGGAGACACTAAGGAGACAAAACTTATTTCCCTGGCATGAATGCTTCCTGTTCTGTGCCGGCCCTCAATGCTTGATCAGTTAGCCAGTGACGAGTAAGATTTCCCAAGGGGGGAATCGCCTAAGACAGGCATGATCATGTGGAGGCCTCAGGGAAGGACTTGGGGGGCTGTGGAAATGAAGGGGTGATCGGCATCAACCCCTGCCCCCTTGGCTTTGTCAAAGCCTAAGTCCTTGTTCTTAGTTGTGAGAAATCCAAGTCTCCTGGCTGCCTTTTTCTCCTCTGCCTGACTCAGGCCTGCGGAAATAACAGGGACAGTGCAGTCCAGACCAGAGTCGGCAGACCCCCGGGGTAATCAGGCTTGGGACATAGAATATTCAAGAGCCTGTGAAATCTGCTTGCTTGAGGATGCTCTTGAATTAGAATATGAAGGCACGGGCAGGAAATGAAACTAGCCTTTTAGGTCCTGTAGTCTTTTTAAGTGATAAAACCCTAAAATCTCATCCCAGAATCCCAGCAGGAGATCTGTCAGCCCCTTTGAAAACTACCTACTTGGTTTATCTTCCCTGCCAGACTGTAACCCACAAAGTATATCTATATTCTTAATAAAAATCTACTCTAGGCAGCAACTTGGGGCACTCTCCATTAGAGAGAGTGGCTGTTTTATCCCTATTTCTCCACAGGACTCAATTGTCCATGTGTATGTTTTTCTCGTGTTTTGACGAGCATCTGCAGTGATGGATACTGCTGGCCGGTATCCGTCACAGAACTGGAGCGTGATGTCAGTGAAGAGGGTGCGAATGGTGGTGGCAGCTCGGTGGGCCGTTCCTACTCCACTGGATTTCATTGTATCATGTGCCACAGAATCCACATTTAGTTGTACCTTTAACTGTAAACCTATTCCACTTTACTTTGCCGTTTTCAGAAACCAAGGAAACAAGGGTTATTATGAGCTCTTCATTTGCTTTATCAAACTATGCTCAAAGACTAAACTTCCTTGATCTAATGTGTTTAGTGTGTTGTGAAAAGTTTGTTGTTTTATAAACTAAGTGCTGTCCTTAACTTCACCATTTTGAATGAAGGAATGAGCATACGCGAGGGGGCCCAAAAAACCTGGGATGATCTTCTGGAGGGTGGGCCCCTTGTAGGACAGGCTTCCCCAGCTAGGTGTGTTCTAGGGACCCAGCTGTTTCTGTGTACCACTGGCATTGTGAGAGGCTGCATACATCTTCAGTAACTTTTTTTGAAGACTCTTCCAACCAGTTTGCCCATTTCACGATGCGTGATTTATGAGTGCACCTGCCCACACCACACTGAGTGTTTGGCAGTTTTTGATCCAAAATGGCATGACTCCCATGCCCCACCCTCCCTATTCATCTGATATCACCCTGAAGGGCTCATTTTTGTTTGTTTGTTTCCCCAGATGAAAAGAGTCCTCAAAAGGAAATGTTTCACAAATGTGGTAGAGGTGAAACAAAAATGTCAAAAAACACTAACAGGAGTCAAAATGGATGAATTCAAAAACTGTTTTGAGCAATGGAAAAAATGTCTCGATAGGTGTATTGGATCAAATGCAAAGTACTTTGAAGGTGACTGAAGTTTAAACATGTAAGAATAAATACACAATTTTTTAATAAATTAATTCCAGTTTTGGGGGTTCCCCCTTGAAGCAATTTCCCTGATATCTATCTTCAGGCTTTACCTGGTCCTTAGCTCTAATAAGAGTGCTTATTTTCTATGAGCCAGTATTCAGTATGTGCTATATGACACATACTATCCTTTCATTTCATCCTAATGACAATCTTCTGAGGTATATAATTTATTACCATTTCCCCCTTTGATAACCCACCTTCCTCTACTATCTAGACTCAATCTTCAGCAGAGGTACAAGAAATGAGGATCTAGGACCCTGTGATGACTAGCACCAAGTCAACACTGAATTGACTGACCTTCATGTATCTTTCTTGATAGAGCTAAATATATTTCTGTCCTATATTTTTTAAAGCATAAGGAATTACCCCCCTCCCCTTTTCTTGGGTTCAGCTTTTTGACTAGGCATGACTGGCACTCATCTACTTTCTGCCAGACACTGATGATGGTGCCCTAAGTGAATTGTGGCCCATTTATTTCCAAATGCCTTTCTGTCAAGTTCTGCCTAACTTCGGGCTAGAGCTGACGACCACTGTGGGTAGCAAAAGACTTGGTGTATTTATTATATTATTTTGCTCGGCTGGTACTTCTTTCCACCAATTTCAACTGAGTGTGAAGGTTTCATGTGCTCATGCCAGAGAATAGGCTTGTTTTCTTGGCTTTTCCAATGACCCGGATGAGCCACAGCCTGAGATACATCACACATCATTTTAAAACAAAATACAGCAACTCTATCATATAAGAATATACAGTGCAACCCAATGATATTAAAAAGGGGATTTGGGAGATCCAAGTTTGTTAGTTACAACCCCAGAGGATGAGACTTAGGAGCAGGTTTTAGTGACAGAAGTAATTTTTCTGGACCCCTGACTAAGTATAATGTAACAGGAATTTTGCTTATGTATTTACTATATTTTTAAGCAAAGATTACTTGATGTAAACATGACACATGTTTATTCTGAGATACTATCCCAAATATTCAAAATCTCTTATAGCCTCTGCTTTGGTGGTTCCATGATTGCACAATGTACACTAGAATTTTTCTGCCCTAAGAACTTCATGAGATACTTATTAAAAAAAGATATTAGGTGGGAACAAAATTTTCTTCACAGAACTTCATTCAGAAGTGGAAAAAGCCTTGATAACTAACAGCCTTGCAGACTCTGAAATAAGTCTCTCTTTGCTGTTTACTGATTACTGTTTTTAAATAACCAGAAATTTCATGGATATTAATTGATTACCATTTCCTTTGCAACTCTTTCGCTATCTGTTTCTACCATATATTTTATATATTCTGTCCCCTTTCACATCCTTCTATTCTGTATTTTTTCTTGGCTTCATTAACATCGACTCTCAGACTTTGTCAGTAGAATGAATAAAACATATTAAGGAACCCCATAAGCTAGCTCAAGATTTTATTTCTGGTATTCATTCAGGTTGAATTAATTAGCACGCCTTTGTGAATAATTTATAAACCAAGAATTAATAGGATCATTAATTGGTATGAGTTTCTGTAGGTTTGTAAATCATCATTCATGACTGACAGTTATATCAAGAAAGGACTTTATACCTTACTGGTGCATTATCACATGATTTGTCAGCAGCAGTTAAGAAAGAGTACTTGAATGAATGACACTCTGGTACAGCAGCCAATAATCATAAAAATAGGGGAAATGCATAGAAAGAAATGTATCTCATCATTGGAGAGTTTCTGAGGAAGTTTATACTGTTACTTCTACTTTCCAGTTTAGGATACATCAAAACACAGAGAATGATGGGGGGCATAACCTCTTGACTAAGGAGTGACTATCTCTTTTTTTATTTGATCTTCTCCCACTGCTCCAAACAGGAAATTTTCCTGGGAAACTGGTTAAGATGAACAGAAAGATGAAGATTGGAAAGCTGCCTATGTCTAGATTATTATCTATCATTCCTATGTAGTTGTACCCACTTTGATTAAAGGGTCTTGTTGCTAAGCAAATTGGAATAGATTACGTTTACTCTCATAAATTACCTTTCAGTGTTTTATCAGGGTAGATGGCACTAAATCCAATATAAAAATTGAATAACAGTATGGCAGGCTGAACAATGGCCTCCCCAACTATGTCCACACATTATTTTTGGAACCGGAAAGCAGGTTACATTACAGAGTAAAAGGAACATTCCAGATGTAATTAAGGTTACTGACCCTTAAACAGAGGAATTACCCTGCATTATCTGGGTGGACCTAATCTAATCATATGAGTAGGGAATATTCTCTGGCTGAAGTCAGAGAAGGAGTGAGATACTCCAAGCTTGAGAAGGATTTGAAGCACCTTTAATGGTTCTGAGAGACAGGGGCCATATGTAAGGACTGGGGAGAGGCCTCTACGTGCTTATGGGGACCATGAAAGGGAGTGAAGACAGCCTGTGGGAGCAAAGACTGGCCACTGTCTGATAGCCAATAAAGAAAACAGGGCCTCAGTCCTACAATTGCGAGGAACTGAATTGGGCTAACAATTGAAAGGGCTTTGAGTTTGATTGTTTTCCAGAGATTCCAATAAGGAGCAAAACCCTAACCACTTTGATTTTAGCCTACTTTATTTTAAACCTTTATTTTGAAACCCCTGTCAGACTTCTAACCTGCAGAACTATGAGATTAATAAGCAAGCAGTGTTGTAAATTGTGGTAATTTGTTATGGCAACAATAAAAAATTAACCCAAATAGTGACTCAATATAGGTTTGTGACTTGAGCAAGTTATTTTCTTGCTCTTTGCCTCCACTTCTCCATTTGTAATGGGCTTAATAAGGATGTCCAGCTCATTGGATGTGCTACACAATTGTTAGGTTTGTGTACACCGTGAACTCTAAAGGAAGAGACACGATGTCAGAGTAGAGTAAGATGAGTGAAAGGAGTAAAAATTGATGTTCCATAATGATCACGTTTTATGAAACATGAGATATGTATTTGTGACAATCTCTTAATGCTTGAAAGTAAATTAAAAAACAGACAATGTTTCATGACCTCCCTGGAGTTGTGCTACAAGCTTATGATCAGTCATCCAAGATTCTCCCACTGTATGGGAGGCATTTAAATTATATTAAAAAATCACACATAAAATAAATTTTAATGATATTATTTCAGGTTAAAATAATTGGATTGGCACAGAATGCAGCCATGCTGCTGGGCTGGTCCTTTCCCTGTGGGTTTGCTTGGGGCACCTTGAGCATGAGCAGCACTCACTGAGTCCACGCCGGTGCCGAAGGAGCTCTGAACCTTTGTCTCTGAGCATTGAATCACACCACAGAGTAGTTTATGAAAAATACTTGACATAGTCCTGATGAATTAGTGATGTAGGAGGGTGCAGCCAAAGGGTCCCCAAAAGAAGAGTTTGTAATGGAGTTCAGAACTCAAGGTGTCCAGGAAATATTAGAAAAATATGTAGAATGTCCTCACCCTCCACCCCAGGGGAAGGGACAAATGGAGCAGGGCCTTTGAGAGCTGTTTCGCATAGCAACAGCCTTGCAGCTACCTCTGGCGTGGCCATTTAACATATCTATAACCTTTAACTGGTTGCATAGATATGTTAAATAGCTGTGACCAGCTCTGAGCCAGGGGAATGCTCCGAGCAGGCTGGCTCTGCTAGAAAAGGGGCCACCAGTAAGTGACTTGGAAGCACTGGGTCACCGCCCTGCAGCCCTGCCACGGCAGCCACTGCCAGGCCTCGGTGTGCTTTGCCCACACTCTCACCACTCGGGCTCTCGGAGCCTCAGGCCAACCTCACAGCCACCTGCTCTGGACCTGGGGCCAGGACACGATAAGCTCCGTGCTAGCCCTCTGGGCACTGCTGCTGCTGCTGCTACCGCGGTTGCTCTCCCAGAAAGGGGGATCTCCACCACCATCACCCCCCCACCCCCATGAGAAGAATCACCACGCGGCTTTAGCTGGAGATTTTGGCAACACAACCAGTGGTGCTGGGAACTAAGGAAGGCCTGCCAGCTGAGCACAAATTACTAGGAAAATCCGAGAGCTGCCTAAGCCACAGACTTCTATTTCTTTTCTTGAGATATGGTACCCCAGACTGGACAAAGAGGGGAAGGAAGGACTGTGTGTTTGTGGGTGTTTCAAGGGACTTTGGGATTTTAACAAATACATTAAGTCATTACTTTTAGTCTGTATAACTTGAATAAATAACTCTTTTCTTTTTCACCAATCT